CACTTTGAGTTAATTTTTCTGAGGAGTATATGTCTGCATCTAGATTTTTTTTTTTTTTGCATTTGGACATCCAGTTGTTCTAGCACCATTTGTGAAAAGACTATCTTTGCTCTATTGCATTGCCTTTGCTCCTTTGTCAAAGGTCAGTTGACTATATTTATGTGGATTTCTTTCTGGGCTCTATTCTGTTCCATTGATCTATTTGTCTATTCTTTTGCCAGTACTAGACTGTCTTGATTACTGTAGCTTTGTAGTAAGTCTTAAGGTCGGATAGTGTCAGTCCTCCAAATTTGTTCTTCTCCTTTAATATTGTGTTGGCTATTCTGGGTCTTTTACCTCTCCATATAAAATTTAGAATCACTTTTTAAACTTTGTTTTAAGCAAGAACAACAAATTAGGTACAAATTATGAGTTGGAATTCAAGTTCAAATCTGAATCCAGAGCTCATGCTCTGAGCCACCACCCCACCATGCTGCTTTCTGTTAACTGAGAGCTGCTGTTATTGCAAACCACAAAAGCAGAACAATTATCAGTTAATTCAGAGAAAAGGTGAGAAGAGGGCAAGAAGAGAAGTAAATTAACTGCTATAAATGAATCCAGGCTGATCAAGTTACATTTCAAGGTACTGAAATTACCTGCCACTGGGATCCCTGTGTTACCAGTGGTCATTCGTTAGCCACCCTGAAATCAGAGTTGGGTAATGCTATAGATTTAGTGTCCTAACCTCAGTAGTTTGTTGCAAAGTGTCCAATTATGTAGTCATAAACAAATTAAAAAATATGAGCCTCATGGTCATACTGTTGGAGAAGATTAGTGGTATAGTAGGCTTTCAATAATACCAAGAAAAAAATATATTTGCACATGAAACCCCTATTACCCCAGGACAGATCTGTAGTAATCCATGTACTGATACAAAGTGCTGCAGTATATGGAAAAGTTGATTTGAAATTGGCTGTTGGATACAAGGTTTTAATTTCATGTGTGACTGACTAAAAGGGCATATAAGGGGCTAAGTATATCACTTAGACACAAAAAAGAGTAAAAGGAGCATAAGGGCTCTGTTGGCTTTTTCAGTGCTTTGGCTATTCGGTATTCAGAATATTTATCCTAAACCATTTTTTCCTTCAGAATTAAGTTCAGCAAGCATAATACCAGGTAGGTTTTATACATGCTGTCTTCAGTGATTGCAGTGTATGCACCATTCTAAATGGCCTGCCATTTCTAAGTGTAAGACTTCAATCAAGATACCTACATTTAGAGATTTAGTAGCTCTAAATTCTATGGTAAGTCACTTAACCATCAAGCTTCAGATTATCTATGTATTTATATAGTCCCAGTCAAAGTTGTATCAGAGGATTGATGAGGAGTTGTAAATCATCATACACATCTTGATAAGAGTTATTTTTAGTGTTAGAATTGAAAGTTCTGTGTTGGATAAACGTGAAGAAACTACCATTTGGTGATGTCTCTTCATAATATTCTCTGTTCTGAATAGCACATTAATTCCCTCAGTTGAGTCGGTGCTATGATGCTGACAGTCTAGAAAGTGACACAAATGTTAACCTGACTAACTGCTCTGTGAGGCCAACGTCTGCCCTTTTGTCTCCCGTTAGGTCTTTGCTGTCTTAGGCTTGTGAACTTTTCTAGTAGATTTAAAAGTAAAAATAAAACCAATGAAATTTGTCTTTATCTACTTGCACTTATCAACAGAGTTGCTTTTTGTTGGTTTTGTTTTTTTTGGTTTGGTTTTTTTGTTGTTGTTGTTGTTCCAGAGAGGAAATGGTCAGTCTTCATAAGTGGAGAAAGACCAGTATTACTCTTTTCTGATAGCCAGATATTTTGCTTTCTGTTGGTCAGCAACATTAGAATACAATATAAACTTCTTCCCTTTTTGTGCTTAACTATTAATAGAAGCATAATAACCTGATGAGGTAGAATTGACAGGTATCAAAAAGATATGAGTTTAAAAATTTGTTCAAGAATTATTTAAATTTCCAAAACTAAAAACACAAATATCTGGCTTTGTGGTAAAAGCATGCTATCTTGCTATCTGGTACATTGTTTGTACTCAATAAATATTTGCCATGTAGATGAAAGGCTGTTTTTTTACAAAATAAAATATCCAGTAATTTTCTAGCACCCTGATAAAACTTCAGTGTAAAGTCAGCTTTCAGAAAATGCACACAGTGTATTTAACTAGATTTACTGTTAAAAATCTCATCTTTTCACTGAGTTTACCCACAGTGCAACTGAAAACCATTATGTGATACTCTGGCTGCTTAATTGGGCACATAGAATAGCATTGTTCACTGGCATTGCTCTCCTCAGAATGGGCGAGGACTGTTCTGGGACGTACAGCATAATCTGAACAAGACCTCTCTGTGTTAATCATCACAAATTGTCTTTTGTCTTTCACCTTTTGGAATCTTCCCAGATCTTTCTCCTCTCCTTTCATAAGCATCTCATTTGCTTCTTGTTCCTGCTTGCACTGTAATTTAGAACAGTGGTTCCCAATATGATGGGACACAGAGTTTTCATCACTATGGTTCATAATTTGTCTTTCGGTTTCCATATCTTCCCACAGTGTGGGGGTCTTGTGGCCCAGCCCACAATTAATTATTCCTCTGGAAACTTTGACCTGATAGTAGCCATGGTCTCTCATTTTTCTTCTTTGCCCACTCTTCCTGTCTTTCATAGAGGACCTACCAGGAAGTTTCATCAATTTGTCTGTCCACCTATGGTTAATGTTGCTATACTGTCTCCGCAGCTCAGAGTTTATCTTCATAACATATTCTGTTAACTGACGGCCTACTATGTGTCAGGATATAGCAATTATAAAACAAACAAAAAATTCCTGCCCTCTTGGAGATGGCATTTGAGTAGAGTAAACAGAAAATGAACAAAATGAGTAAGTGAAGTATGTAGTGTCTTAGAAAAATAAAGCAGGGAGTGGGGAAAGAGAATGCTGGGGGAGAGGTGGATCCAGAGGGATTTCATTTTGAATAGGATACTCAGATAAAGCCTTTCTGAAATGGTGACATGGGAGCAAAGAATTGAAGGGTGAGAGGGATATCTGGAGGGAGCCATGTGGATATCTGGAAGATCATTCCAGGCAGAGGGGCAGCACATGCAAAGGGTCTGAGCAGAAGCATGCCCATGGTGCTTGAGGAACAGTACAGAGGCCAGTGCAACTGGAACAAAGGAGGAAACGAGGCGCAGGGCTGACTGAGGAGATGGAGGTTGTTTAGGTTCTTGTGGGCTATTTATAAGAACTTTGACTTTTGCTTAAAGTGAGAAGAACCCATAGGAGGGTTTTAATGAAGGGAGTGACATAATTGGATGTGTTTTAACAGGATCACTCTGACTTGCTATTTTTCAAGGAGCGAAGGTTCATCCAATAGCTGCAAAATACACATTCTTCTCCTCAGTTTGTAGATCATTCTCAAGGATAGGCCATATGTTAGGCCACGAAACAAGTATTCAAACATTCAAAAAATCGAATACCAAATATTTTCTCTGGTTACAATGGAATAAAACTACAAATCAATAATAAGAGGGACACAGGAAACTCTACGAACACACGGAAATTAAACAACATGCTCCTGAATGACGAGTGGATCAATGAAGCAATTAAGAGGGAAATTTAAAAATGTCTTGAAAGAGGCCGGGCGTGGTGGCTCACACCTGTAATCCTAGCTCTCTGGAAGGCCGAGGCGGGCGAACTGTTTGAGCTCAGGAGTTCGA